AATTTGGGCCTTTGCTTTTGATAGTCAAGTTTCCTGAAGCAGCCGTTTTAATGAGAGATGGTGCATTTTTCCAAAGCAAAACACCGTCCTTTTACTTCATGCAAATCAGCTCTTCAAAAGATATGTTTGTACACACCCTAACTCGGTGTTCCAATCAGGAATTCGTGATGTATCCGTTTGACCTAAATTGCTGGCCCTCTAATCAGAAATTCCGTTTTTATGGTGCTGTTGAGGGTTGAATAATCAAATTACCTCATCAAAGCAACTCTGTAATCTAAAACGACCGACCGAACATCAGTCATTCTTGCATGCAAAGCAGATGGACGCATGACCGACATTATGCAATCATTATCCGACAATATATTATCATGATGGTTACCAGTGTGACACAGCTGTGCACGAAGCAAAGCTTCCAGTCAATTTTCCTCTAGTCGGTAGAATTTCCGGATCACAACATGTTGGGATGGGTTCCCAAATTTTGCGCTATATCTATGAAGAAGTATTATGAAAGAACGATCTATGAAGGTTTCCTATGGGTAGCGAAAGTTGTCAAATTTCCGGTCAATTGGGACGGCCTTTGTTAGCAGTTTTCCACTAAAAATGGTCAACGTGATTTCAAGTAATCAGTGACTAGCACTTGTGTTCAACCTCCGAGCTGCCAGAAGTATAACGCACACAGCCACCAATCCGAGTTTGAACTGAGCTTAATTTGAATAAAGGCCAGGTGATTATTCTACAAGCTTACCTTGGTGGACAAGGTGATCAGTCACAAAAAAGAAATTTTTGATGGATACATATCACACAGTCTCTACTGAAAACCTCGGGTGAATGCACCTGTTGTGGAGAATAAATTAATTCGACCCCTTCAATTCTAGACATCCTTGCGTCCCGACAAACTTCTTGGGATAACCCTGCGAGAACTCCAGAGTGTCTCTAGGTAAGCCTGTAAAAGGTTTGGATTCAAGTTAGCTGTATCAAAAGTTTTGCAGCCACTAACATGGGACCAAAAGTTTTGCAAAGTGCTCGGGACACTTTGGTTTCAGATGAAATCATCTTTTTGGTGGGATACCTTATTCGTCTTATAAGATCATTTGAAGGGTTTGGCCAAATCACTTTTCAAAGAATGCTGGGGACAGTTAACAGGAAAAATATAAGTTCTGAAAACCCCTATTCACAACTAAAATTCACTTCAAATAACAAAAGCATAATTCACCGTTTCATTTGGTGACGAGTTTTTTAAAGAATAGGTTTAACAAGTGCGTTCTGACGAGCTGTTTACGTTTTCAGGTAGTCATACTAATTTATCTGTATGGTCACCGTTACCCTCGAACAACCAGTGGTTGGCACACTGGTATTGGTAACTTAGACGCAAGAGTTTAGAAAATTCGTTGTCGGATCCCAAACCCTCTCATATCCCTCACTTCTTGAAACTCATTAGGTGAAGTTGGATGGCTTGGGCGCAAAGCTCATTTTGGAGTTCGATTTCATTTGTAAACCCACAGAATAGCTGGTAGTGAAAACAACAACACTGGTATTTATTCCAAAAATCAAACGTAAGTGAAAAAACGAATACACATTTATTGATACACTATCAATAGTTAGTCAACTGGAACAGCCCGGAGTAACTTTCTTTATATGTTGAGCTGAGGTCAACAATGACGCAAAGAACCCCAGTCGGTGTGATTTCATAAGCTTGGTATAAATGACTGATACCTGGTTGGAAACTGCGGAGCACTCTGCCGAAAACGCAGGCAATGGAGCCTGAAGTGCACAAGATCGATTTCGTGTGGCTTGAACTGTGATTAGTGAGTTGTTTATTAATTTGGGCAATTCGGTAACAATAAGTTATTCACCAGTTTAGGCGACTGCATAGGTCCATAGTTATTTAAAGTGCGTTGTGAGTCGAAGTGTGTGAATGTTCTGAGTACATGAGTTCATGTAAGTTCTAGTCCTCTAGAGTGAACCTTATATACCGCTGGTCTTTGGGTTGACTTTTCAAGCTTTCCCACTGATTAGTCTGTTTCCTAATTTGGGACTGTTTGTGTCACCTAGATGCCTGATGTTACCAGTTCTTGGCAGTGATGTTCTCCAGTTGACCCTACTGCGAGTCTGCTTCTTGCTTTGTTTGTTAGGTAGTAGGTTTTGACTTTGTGTTCCCATTGGTCTGGCGGTTTCGAGCCAGGGCAGATTTCATCACGTCAGTGGTTTCACACTATCACCTCAAAAGACGATTAAACTGCAGCCAAAGTGCCAAGCTCAGTCGATCAATCAGTGACAATTGGAGCACTCTGATCTGCCGATATTCCTTTCGGCTTGAACTTTTGTGCTCATTCTGTCTCACTACTGGAACTGTAAGCAAGAGTCGAATCTCGCTGGAAGTGAAGTGTAGAAGGATTATAACAGGAGCGAAAGGTAAGCAAAATGATAATACGATTAGCTTTTCGACCTATAAATGTAATCAGACCATTGTGAAAGACAGAAATTTCGGGCTGATGATTTCTCTTACGATTCTGCATAACAATCAGCTCGTCTCGTTACTTTTTGCAAGGCTGAAGTAGAAGTTTATGAACGAACAACACCACACAAATTATCATGACATCATAGCATTGATTGTTATGTATGCGTCCTTTTTGACCCGATACAGACGCCATCAACTGTATCCGGTACACATTAGATTTCTACCCAACTTTGTGTGTACGTTTCCCCTGTTCGCAATTTTGACTGGTTAAAGTCAAATTTGACGGAAAACTGCAAGAATTCGCCGCAATGTATGCCAAGTGGACGGTGAATTTTTGCAACGCGAAATTACAGTGGTTCAGACGATGCGCCTACAAATGACTGGTATATGGAGACGTTAGAATCGAGAGAACTTATCAAGCAAGCAGACTTGGTCCTGGGTGAATTATCATCTACAATGCATCTACAAAATATCTGGTCACACAGTGGATAAAAGAGTACTGGCAGTATTCGCTATCACTTCGCTACGCTCGGTTTCGAGGCAGAATGTCTTTGACGAATGACCTTCGAAAACAGTACTTTGTTCCGTGCTAGGATACCCTGACGTAGAGGCAGTCGGTTATATCACTTAGCGACTTTATTTGATCCCGCTTATAAGTTCGAAAATGCTTTGGGACGTGTCTATATGGGGCACGGGAATCAAATTAGGCATGGAGTTAACCTGGATTGAAACGGAGAAGATCCTTGTGTACCCAGGTGTTGATGGGAAAAAAGTCCATTTCCAGTTAGTTTGGTTTGTTAAGTGTATCCGAGGTGGTTTCGAGTTATCATCATCATTGACAACATGACATCTGTGCTCAACACTGTTACTCTGCTGCCGTTTCTGGTCAACCTAAACAGGTCCTTCTATCTATGTGATCCCATAATGTTATCAAGACTAATAATGTATTTATTGTTTCCTTGTTCCAGTCATGATAGTTGTGGCATAGTTGAGCTGTTAAGATCGGATTGTTTATTAGAATAAACAGGAATCAATGCAGACAAAAGTTAATCTGTTTGGATAGAAAGCGATCCAAATGTCTGTTCGACGAGTGAGCCTGACAGTGTGTGCCACACAAGCGACGAAATTGCATACGACCCATTTCAGAGGGGTTTGGTAAACAATCGGTGGATTTATTGCTGGGCAAATTTTCGCTTTTGACGCAAAAACTTCGTCAGACCAAGTGAGTAAGTAAGTAGGTTCATTGGGCCTTAAGGCAGTCAGGGAACCAATGTGTGAGTTTTCTTATGATTAGTGACTTGATCAGTGTTTGTTGTTCAGTCTGATGTTCCTGTTTATTGATTAGTGGGAATGACTAAGATTTACGATAGATTGGTTAGGGGTGGGTTCGTCTTTATAATGAACCCGGATATTTTCGTCCCTGCTTCTTCAGTCTAGGACACCGTGATGGAAAATTCCTCTTGGGGTCGTTCACAGATTTCGTTCACCTGTGTTCGTCCAAGGGTGCTGAGACAATTGGTTTAGGGGATGGGGTTGGGGTGGTTAATTGGATCTAGCTCTACTTAGATTTTGCACTTTTGGACCCAGGACATTTCGCTGATAATTGCACGGCGCCCCGTGTCATCTCGGCTGATCTAAGACCTCTCTCCACACGTTTGCAAGTTCTACCCCCTCTATTCTATTCACACTGGGATGCTTGGCGATTTCCACCGCCTCGGCCACCAGTCGCTGTGGTGTGAATCTTAAACCCCGTCTAAATCTATCCTATGCCCAGTGTCTAGAGCATACCCTGTCATTGCTGAATCTTTGACTAACACCCGGAATTCCTCTGCGTTTATCGGTGGTCTGTTAATGGAACGCTTATGCTCATCGATTCTGGTGTGCGATTCCCCAGCTGTCTGACCTATATAAACCTTCGTACAATCGTTACTTTTTATTTTCTATACACAGTTCTTTGTCCTATCAACCGGAAGGCGATCCTTCAAATGCACCAACATCGAGCGTAGAGTTGTCCCATTCTGGAAAGCTGCTCTAATGTTAGCCGTGTTCAGTACCCTTCCAATGACTTCAGGTGTCCCTGTTTTGTAGACGATATAGTTGAAGGCATAAAGGTATGTCTAAACCTCAGTCATTTTGTTTTCGACTCAATTATATACCCTAAAAGAACAAGATTTAGCGACAGGTTCACCAATATCCCCGATTTTGGCCAACATGTACATGGAAGACTTCGAACAGAAAGCTTTAAACCGATTCGAGTGTCCACCAAGGGTGTTCCTGCGTTACGTAAATGACACGTTTGTTGTGATAAAGCGGGATAAGGTGAACGAATTCTTTCAATATCTGAACACATTGGACCCTCACATCAAGTTTAGCATAGAGCTAGAATCCACATCCGGTACACTAACTTTCCTTGACTGCATGACACACAAGAGTGGTGGGAAATTAAAAAACCACTGTATACCGGAAATCAACAGATAGTGGTGCGGTCTTAGACTACTCCTCTGCACATCCAAAAGCAGTATATGCTAGCATAGCCTCAGCGATGTTTAGGAGAGTGAGAGCACTGTGTACAGAGGAGGGCGACCGAAGAGCAGACACACGCAAAATTTGGCGTCTATTTAGGAAAAACTTCGTAAAGATTCGTGGATTGGGTCTGCCTAGTGATCTTCAGGATGACCGAAACCAATTGTGGATGGTCCACGGTATCCGTGGATCTTATACTTAGCAATGAGGCCAAATTCGGTATCTTGAATTTCGCCCAAAATGTCATGTGAGGTAGCGTTTGCGCAACGGATTCTGTTAAAGAAGTTCATAGACATGAGATTCAAGGGGAATTTCGCTATTCCCGATAACAGCAACCTAATTGACACATGAGTTTTTAACACAGAATACGTTTATCGGTTCCAGGTAAGTGACCTTTCTGGGCGTTAACTAGATATTCTTCTTGGAGTATATGGCAACTACCGCCGGAATGGCCCCAATGTACTAAATGCTACCCAGCTAACCTCCCTGGAGACTAAAGACGCCGGTGTTCTTCCGTTTTCGGCTCTGCAACAGCTCAAACAAGTTGTTTACCTTTCCAATTGGTAAATGATGAGAACTGACGGAACATGAAACTTATCGACAGTTCTTCGCCCAAGCAATGCGACCCAACAGTTAGGCATTCGCTAAAAGTCAATGATGCGTTTGGAGAGGTTTTCTGTGTTCGACCGAAGTAATTCACCAAAGAGTCGAAATTTAACGATTACTTAAAATTACACTTGTAGGTTGTTGTGATGACCTCGAAAAACATTGCTCCAGTTCCATCAACAACTGCTGAGTTCACCGTAATTATGTGTGAGTCCAGTCAATCATAAAATTTATCTGGGATTTTGATATAATTTGTTTGGATCCGAATCTGGCAACCTGGCAGTATCCCAACCCTCGTGCAACCTTCAGGTAGCATGGTATTTGGGCGCCGGAAGGGTGCCACAGCTGGACGATTTTTTTCTAAATAGTGATGCTTCTCAAGTTGACTAATATAAAGCCTCGGTTTTCAGACATGGTGAAGCCAAGTTACTATCATATACGTTACTCTGTAAAATTGTAGATGTGGTGCGAAACTATGGCAGTTGACATATATATCGTTATCAGGCAGCAAACGTAAACTAAGGGACTCAAACATGTGCATTTTGCGGTTGAAGGTTTCTCCATACGGATCATCTAGAAATTGAATCTCCAAGTATAAATTAAGGTTCCACCTGGACGCTTCACACTTCAACCCTAGGATTATTCAAACGTGCGAAACCTTTGTTCAACAATACGGTCGTCCAGCAGTCTTGTGGAGCAAACAAAGTATTTTGATCTGATATGCACAAATCTGCTAAATGGCAGTTAAGTTTTCGATGCGCAACAGTTTAGCACAGTCCAACAGCATATCTGATAACCAAGTATCACTGTCGCTTTCACATCATTGTTTCTTCACTTAATGGAACCACTTGACAATGGTTATACGAATAGTTCACGCTAATGTGTTAGGTCATAGATGAAACCACTCGCTTTGCATATTGTCTGAATCAAGCCGATAAATGTTTCACTGTTTTGTACTTTGTACCGCCTAAGTGGGCGCTTTAAAAGTAGCAAACGCGTTACGTTTAGCACATTCATCCTGAAATAAAGCTAGAATCTAATCTCACTTACACAACATCGTCCACTCTCTAAGGAAGAACGACAATTACATTTCGCGTCACATCATCCGAAAATACAGCAGTGATTCTCCATCGGTGAGTTGGAATGGCGGTAGCTTGGGTGTACTTATTGGTAGGTGATCAGGTGTTGGATCAAGTTGGGTGGCGCAGTCAACCACACTCTGTAGACGTCTTCACGAAAGGTGACGGAATCTTTGCAAGTCAGATGAGAAGATCGGCAGCATAGGGCTTAACTATCAGCCCCCCATTAGGATTTTGAGAAGAGTGCGAAAAAGCGAGAAAAGTAGTACATGGTGGAAGACTGCTAACCAATATCATATTAGAGAATAGTGAAATATCGCATCAGGTTTCCTTTGCAATATGCACTAGGTCGAAGCAGCTTCTTCACAGCAAGCAATTGCTTATGGGAATGAATTGCTTGAAATCTTCTTGAAATCGTCCAAAGTTGGAATATTTCTTTTGTCTACGAGCCGAATAAGTTACTGTTACTCGAAGTATTAAATCAACACTACTCGCTACGTCGTCCTTTTGGTAGCAAAGCTTGCCACCAATCGACCGACATTGTATTGCAGATTAGCTTCGCTTCATTTTTTAACAGTGCATCGGTGCTGGGTAGCAACGCGTTTGTGATCGTTTCCGTCCTGGCGACGAAAGACGTTGAGTGACGGCCTTTGTGGCTGGTCCCCTGGATTTATTTCCTGAATGATCGATGTGCATATCAATTCAATAACTCGGGAGTGGTAATCTCTGTTCGATCAGTTCTAGTGTGTCCACAGTTGGGGCAGATCCCTCGGACTGAAAGTCGGTTCCGTTGGAGCTACCGATTCACCTGACGATCCGCTGCTCCCAGTAGTGTGTATCATGAACTTTCATATACACAGGTATATTAAAGTGAGTTAAAAAAATTTGGCAGGAGCCCGGGAAACTAGCACAAACTGAAGTACCAATAGCCAGTCTCGAACTCCAGATCGGTTTCTTTCATTTTGTGACAAATAACGGTTTACAAGGCTCGTGAACGGCTCAACACCATAGTTAGAGGTGCCAGCTGATTTCAAAATGAGCAATCAACTACCAGCTTTGAACTGCGAGTTAATAGGATGCCTTAAACTTGCGTTTGTCACAAGTAGACGCATTTGGGTATCAGACACCACGGCAACTACCATAATAACGGTTGCTTCAAAGTTGTCAAACTCCAAGTGGCTCACAAGAACGTCGACAGGTCGAAGTATTGCGAATCGGGAAGTAGGGCTGGCCGTTACCAATATCAACTATTTCAAAAGGGGTGATACTCACAAACCGGGAGGAACCTGGTGAAGAAGATATACGGGAGTGCCACCACAAGCAACCGTCAACATTATCTTCCTACTGTGCCTCAAAAACTTATCTGGAATTTCACCAGAGTTTTCATGACCAAGGAGGACCACAAAAGACCATAAACCAACTGCCTTAAGGAAAATGATCTGGAATCCTAAGGACCAGAACACAGCGTATGGACTGCCATAATCGTAATGTCAAAAAACGGACGAAAAGCGTGAGTAGGAATCAAAGAGGATGTGATTCATTACGTCTGGTCTCTGTACACGAAGACTAAGTAGGACACAAATTCGAGCTGGATGATGTGAGTGTTCCGGCAAGTGTATAAGCAAGAAAGTTCTTGGGCTTATGGTAGCACGCCACCAATCCAGTCAATCTACCTATGGTATGTGCACACCACTACAAGCATAGACTAGCCAAATTTGTCGGAAAACCCAACTGGAGCTAACTAACAACTATACGAACCACAGAAGAGGGTGATCCGACGAGAGGGGTCCACTAGACGTTAACTAATCAGGAAATCAGACAATAAGACCAATAATCCAAACCGCAAGTCATACACAAACATCACAATCACATCCAATATGACGCTTACTGACACAAAATCATATCTAAGCACACAATGACGTCGCAACGATATTCTACTTGCCGTTTCGTTCGATTATTGAGGAGTAGTTTGCAGCAAACTTGCATGGCTCAGCAAGTAGTACGTTGAATGATTTAATGGCCCTCTTCTTCATTAACTGCCAAACATCTTAATGTACTTATAGAACTGAAGTGCTTTGATGTCAGTTATCCGCTGCCAAGACTACAGAGGCCAACCGTCCGCAACCACTGGAAAATGGTGATGATACTTTTTCATGAAGGAAACTACTCACAAGATTGCTGAAAACTCTCCGACAGCAAACTTGTGGGTAGTTTCCTTCATGAAAATATACTGCGATATCTCGAATAACGTACCAACTGAAACATGAGGCGGCCTGTGTGCAGCACATTCAGTTGTGGAACGTCATAAACGAGGGATTCAGTTGAGTCTCTCGTGAAAACCAAATTGATTTGCAAATGGGCGTATTTCTGGTGTCAGCTGAAACACGCAATTTAAGCTTGTAAGCGGCTTAAGGATCACATGGAAATACAAATTTTGTTGAATATACAACTGTACGAGAAACGTAAGACAATGGTGCAGAGTATGACGCATCTTCCTGTAGAACCCAGCCTTCCGTGATTACATCTTGGGTGGCGGCGTAAGGTAAGGTACCAGCTAACGTAATTTTTCCACATTAGAACCGTCACATTTTCAAAAAAATATCATTTATGTGACTGGGCCTTCAAAGAACAGAGAGTGCACCTAGTATCGTAGCTATCTTCTCCGTTTGGGTTGTTGTTTAGGAGATAATTTTTCATCAGCGAGCTACCTTCGGGAAAGTACGATGAATGTTCGTAACTTGCCATCGGATAACATCGCATAGTATACATACCATGCAGAGACACTCTTTACGTCTTCCAAAAAAATCAACTGACGCCGATCTAATGCGCTGTTTTAGACCACGAAGGGACACAAATTTGCCCTCCTTAAGATCTACCCAGCTGAAGCCTTCTCATTGCAGATTTTCTCTTTGAATGACGCAAGCGCATGGTTCATGTAAATCTTGATTGAATCTCCGTTCACATCACTAAGCAAGAATGATTTATTTAACGTCAAAGCCACTGAAATAGACTAGAAACAAGTGGCTCAGTCTGGGTGAGGAATTTGTTTTTGATGATGTAATTCGTCGTGCATAAGCCTCATGTAGTTACGAATTCCATCACACATATCGGAATTGTGGACAGCGGATGAGGAGTCGGCTTTTTACTGGTTGATTTTGTGCGTCACCCGGTGCTTAGTTATTGGCGATAGACAGGCTAGCAAAATGACTGGTCACACCAGAAAGGAGAAAAATTGTTGATGTATGAGGGGAATGGGAAACGGCGGAAGATATTCATCAAAACAAGCCAACCAACCGGTTGGTGCGTGGTGCACATACAAAGTTAGCTAGTGATCCAGAATTATCAGGCTTACATATTTAAAAAACCGTTTCAACGCAGCCATACTGGTCCCGATTCGTTGAAATCGTGCCTCATTTTTGGTGTGCATAGACCAGTCGGCTCTATGGAAACCTTCATGGACAATACCCTGACGCTTCGGTTTGCTGGCTTCCTGC